ATTTGAGTTGTTTATATTTTTTTATTTATTTTAGAGTTTGTATTGTTTGAGGTGTCTTAAATAAGTGTATTTTTTATTTTTTTGAACTAAAAAATTGAGAAAAAAAATATAAATTTTGGGTTAACTTTTAATGTGTAATAAAAATTTGTATAAATAAAGTGTATAATGAAAAAAATATGAGTGGTTGTATAGCTGACAGGCTGCCCCAGCATGTCTTATCCAGAAAATAATTGCCTCATTCGGGGAAAAGTGTTTGGATAGTGATAGTCGGTCTGTGGGGGCCACCATGGGTCCCATTTTAATAATCTGAACCGTGGAATATGTATAACTTGTCGAGTATTATAAGCCTGTAAAAAATCAAGTTGATCGGATATCGATAGCTACATGATCGGATTAGTTTTTTTCAACAGTTAACTATCACACCATCCGTTTTGTTTATACAAAACTAATTTGATCATATAGTTAACGATATCCAACCGACGTGATTTTTTACAAACATATATTACTCGACGAGTTCTACATATTGACGGTTGAGATTATCAAAACGGAACTCTTAGTGGGCCCCGGGGCCCCAAGGGCTCAACATTACCATCAAACTTTGTTGCTTTACATATGTAATTTTTTTTTTGCCCAAAAAGTGTATGACCTGCCTTACTGTCTTGATTTTACAGCTGCCATGTTAGTCTTGTTTCCTATTGAATACAGCACTCATGACCTGTCAATTAGGATATATATTTTGTCTAATTTGTGTTCAGAATGGAATTTGTTCTTATGAAGTCCATAATTCTTCACAAACTAACCTTTATTGGCATTTTTTCGCAATTATTTTCTGTTCACTGATTATTTGAAAAAATCAACCTCAGACAAATTGATAAAACCTGTTAATTTTTCCTTTTCAGTTGCGTACATTCAGATAATTTTATGATTGTGAATCTCTTTTCATGAGATAAATTGAATTTTCTCTTTTATGTAATTTATTTGTCTCTCTGAGCATGAATCATCTTACTTTCTTGAAGATTGACATTTTATTTTAAACTCTTGATGCAGCTGGTTACTTGCACATGATTAATCAGATGAAGGGGTTGATCACCAGAGCTGGAAAGAAAGTCTATACTCTTGTTATGGGAAAACCAAACCCTGCTAAACTTGCCAACTTTCCGGAGGTAAACTTTGATGAATGCAAGCAGATGATTTTCTATTTTCGCTAGAGATTATAATACAAAATGTTGTAACAAACTTTCTTCTTTCTGCAGTGTGATGTCTTCGTTTATGTTTCTTGTGCACAAACTGCTCTTTTGGATAGCAAAGAGTTCTTATCTCCTGTTATTACCCCTTTTGAAGCCATGATAGCTTTCAGCAGGTATTGCCAGAAAATTCCCCTATTTATTAGTCAAATTATTAGTTAATGGTTCTTAACTCCATCTTAACCCGTTCAGTCTTTCAAACCATCTATTAGCATTTTGTTATAATCAGTTTGGCCTCATGGCTTTTCTGCTAGTCTAGTTTTTTCTGCAATAGGCACGTGTGCAAAAAGAATTTGCTTCCAGGCATTGTCAGTATTCCACCACATGTTCTGATATGTATTTGATTTTTTTTTTTTTTTCTTCTATAAGCATCTTGCAAAGCTGAAACTCACATCATCTATAATATGTCTATTTTGATATTTTAGTTCAATTCACCTATCATGTTTCACAAATTTAATCTGATTGGATGCCTCAAATTTGTGAGAAATCTTTATCCTAGATACTTTTTGTTCCACAAATCTATGAAATGACTTATCAGAGAAAATATCTATGTAGTTAATTTGTTTCTGCCTACTTTTTTATTTACCTGAAGGGAGTCCCATTATCCCATACAAGTTTGCATTTTGCGGATCCAAATCTTCTCCATTATGTAGTTGTGATGGAGGATCTCTATTACATCATCCAGTGGTTCTGAAATAGTCGTATCAAGTTATCATTATTTCAAATTAAGAAAAAGTCATTACAACAATTGACTTTTTTTTCTTTTTTATAAATACATTATTATTATTATTATTATCATTTTAAAACTATTAGATGATGTAATGTAGAGGATCTCAATCCACATTTTGCAATTTGAATGTGGAGAAATTGATGTGTAGCAATATATTTTGGTGCAAAGTCCATTAGCACTTGGATGTATAAATGGCAGCTTAGTGCACAAAGATCCCACCACTGGGATCTGTGAAGGGATAGATGTACGCCGCCTTCCGCATGTGGAGAAGCTGTGTTTCGTACTGATGAATGGAAATAAGGAAGTAGAGTAAAACTTGGGGATTAGATTAGATGCTCAAAACAATAAATTAGTTGTGTGGGAAGGGAGTACTTGTCTAAAATTCGTGCTTAAAGCATTTTGGCTGTGTTCGGTGGAGCTTTCCAAACATGATTCCACACCTTGGTTTGAGTGCTCTGTTTGTTTACAATTTTCAAAAATTGATTCCACACCCACTTTTGAAAACATGTTTACCCAGTTATCCTCCCGGATGTTCTCCCAGACGTCCGGCCGGTTGACCAAAATAGTGTTATTTTTTTTTTTTTTGGGCACTTGTTATTTTTATATTGTAAATAAAAAATATTTTCCGTTTTTTTTTTTAAATAAGCTTTGAATAGAATTTTGAGTTGTGTGTTTGGTTATGAGATGTAAATTTTTGAATCCAATAACTTTCTAATTTCAAAAACTCAAAACTCCCTCCAAAACTCTTTTCAAAACTCATGACCAAACAAAATTTCCATACTTAAATCATAATTCTAAAACTCACAAACTCAAAATACAATTCTATTCTCAAATCACATTTAGAAAACTCTAGCAAACGCTACTTTAGATTTGACAGAAAAATGAGAAATCGATATATTGCGACAACAAATCAAGAATTTTTTGTTTGTTTATTCATAGATCTAGAAGTAAAATTTGACACTGGTTCGTCAGTAAAATTTTATTCTAGTTAACAACATGCTATTCTATTTAATGACAGTAAAATTTTACTTTGAATCATAGTAAATTTTACTTTGATTTAGAGAAAATTTTACTCTTTTTTTTTTCGGATTACATTTACTATGATTCAAAGAAAATTTTACTATAAAACAAGTTACGATGATGGTTTTATAGGAGAGTATTGTGTCATAAACCAGAATAAAATTTTACTGTTGGAATAACAAAGCATTATGAGAAGAAGAAAAGAGAGATAGAGAGACAGAGTTCAAAAATAGAGGATTAAGAGGAGGGGAAGGATGAGAAGAAGAAGAAGAAGAAAAAGAAAAAGAGATAGAGAGAGAGAGAGAAAGAGAAAGAGAGATTATGAACCATTAGAACCAAATAGAGAACGAGAGTGAAGGATCTCAAATTTGAGATTTGTGAACCGTCACAGATCATCATTTTCTAGCAACGATGACTATGAATGATTTCAGATCTGAAGTTGTGGATAAAACAACTGATGGTGGTGATGAAGACGGTAGAGAAAGAGTTCCATGGTGAGCAACGGTGGTACCGATGGAGGGCACCAATGGCGTCGATGAAGAGTAACAGTGATAAGAGCTGAGATGGAGCTTTTAAGTGCATTAGGGCCAAGCTAGACCTAAGCGTAGTGATGGGCTGTTTTGTGGGCCGAGGTAAAAAGGGCTTAGTGAAGAAGACCATTGCGTTAGAGGGGTTAGCTCGGCTGTGGTTAGCCCGATCCAAGTGATTGCAGTCACTACGGTCGAAATGGTGATTATTAGCTCGGTCATAGTATTTGGAGCCGAGATTTGGGCTTCTGGTGGTAGAGTTTGTCCTTGTTAGCTTGGTTAAGACTTGTTGTTGTCAGCGCGGTCTCAACAGACAAAACTAAGGTACAAAGCTATGTGTTGTAGCGAAGGCACTGGATTAAGTATGACAAAGGTTAGTTCAGTCACACTATCATCTAACCGAGGTAAAACCATCTCACTTGGTTTAAGCAGTGAGGGGCGTGCTGAAGGATAAGCATTATCTTTCAGGAGTGTGATTCCTAGGAGGACTCTACATAGAGGAATAAGAGTCCTACTAGGATTGTGCCACACGGAACCTATAAAAGCTCATAACAGAACCTATGGAGAAGGTAACATACAACTTTGATTCTCGAATACACAGAACTTTTGTCTATTTGTCTATTTTGCTGACTTAGGTATCGGAGAGGTATCCGACGACACACCCGCTAGCTAGCTCATGTTTGTGTTTTCAGAGAGTAAAACGACATCGTTTAGAGGAGTGCAAGCTTGATCAACAGAATCATACAAGAAAAATTATTTCATGCTCGTACAAGAGCGAAACAGAGAGAAGAGAGATTGAGATGAGAGAGAGTGCTTGCAATCTAATATATATATATATATAAGGGTATTATAATAAAATAAATAGATTTTAAAATATTAAGAGATTTTGAAAAGCTCTAGGTGTCGTTTGGGAAGAACTCATTTGGGCTCTTTTGGCTCTTTGAATCACAAAAGACAGAATAGGCTATTTGAGCCACAACAGACAAAACATCACATCCAACTAGGGGTGTGCGCGGTGCGGGTCGGTGTGGTTTGAAAGAAAAATAGAAACTGTATGGCGGGTGGCGGATTGATAAAAGTGTCACTAGAATTTGCCATTTTCCTTATAAAAAATCGGCGGTTCTGGCTATAAGTAAATCCCCGTTAGGAAACGGTGTGCTACCCACCATCCGCTTTGCAGCTACAATCGTCTGCCGCGTGCGAGTGAATAGCATGACAATGCATCTAACAGGTGGCCCAGATTTCTCTCTCACACACACACACTTACAATCAGTTGTTTTGATTTCAGAGTGAAATTGAATCCTCAAACATTCACCATAATTCTCTCAACTTAGAGAGAGAGAGAGAGAGAGAGAGAGAGAGAGAGAGTCATGGGGGATGAAGGAGAAGAGCAACAATCTCCATTAATGGGAAGTTTCAATGACCCTGATGAAGAAGAGCCTTTTAAAAAAACTGGTAAAAACTCTTTCTTCAACTTCCCATGTATTGCATACACAAGTTTTTCAATTTGGTAGCACTTGATTTCATTCTTTTCAATCTTGGTTGAAGTTTTTTAACTATGAAATAATGAATGAAGATGATAATTCTGATTCTGTGAGAAATCCCCTGAAAGACATTGAATTCGAAGGTCGGTAGCAGCTGGGCTATAGCTGGTGGTGGTTCGTTCAATTACCAGACGACGCATGCAAACAGTAGCTTCGTCTGCTCGCCGCCGCACACGGCGGAGAACCACCTTACTCGAACGACCCGGAGCCTCCGTACATTCACTGCTGCTGGTGGTGGAGGAGGTTAGTTGGGCAGAGTGGGGGACAATCGCCTCCACTGACTTTCGTGAAATTACCCCTATAGCCCCCAAATGAAAATTTATATCAATTTTAGTTATGGGTTTTCAAATTTATTTTCAATTTGCTTGTCCCCACTGTTTTTTATTTGTAAATCAGATTACACCACTAATTGTTATATGTATTTGTACTAGCGGTGGGTGTAAATGCAATGCATTTATAATTGTACATCTAAATTTTTTGAGCGATTTAAGGAATGAGAATTGAATTAAAAAACTATTACAGTCACTACTTAGAGTTTTGGCAACTACCAATTTAGGAGTATTTTGGGTAAAATGCATGACAAAGTTTTGAGCAGTGTGTATTATATAAAAGAATATAACTTATCTCAATGTGTATATCTTAAAATTAAAAATTACGATTTGGGAAGTCTCAAATTTGGACTGAACTTTTGTGAACCCAAATTAGGTTTGAACTCGGAACATTAATAGGATGCAATTTTCATAATATTGTGTGAAAGTATAGAAATTTAGGGTTCAAATCCAAGTATTTATTCTTTTGATTATCAAATTGTAAACTAGTTTGTGTACAATTTAAGGTAAAGTTTTGCTTCAATTGAATAAAAATCTTGGCTCTACCCCTGCACGGTACATCTACACTTCAGTTGCATTTCCCTATCAGTTGTGGTTCATCAAGTTAATGTCATCATAATAGGATTGTGTATGGTATGTATTAATGGCTGCTGATATATAGGACTAGCACTGGCATGTTAGTTAAGTTAACCTTTTCTTTTTTCTTTTTTGGTGAAACAATTAGTTTGTTGCAATTGAATTCAGTTTTGTTATATAAACGTGTGTATATGTTTTGCAGGGACGGTATGGACTGCAATGGCGCATATAATAACTGGAGTTATAGGGGCAGGGGTACTGTCCCTTGCATGGAGCACGGCTCAGCTAGGCTGGATTGCCGGTCCTCTAACGATGGTGGTCTTGGCAGCCATCACCATCCTTTCTGCAAACCTTCTCTGTGACTGCTACAGATCTCCCGATCCTGAATATGGGCTCACCATAAACCGATCCTACACAGAAGCTATTAAGTTGTATTTAGGTCAGTGCCCGCTTTTTCACTGCTTTAGAGTTCAAGATGTGTTTGGATCATGGATTAGTGGTGGGGGAAATTGAAAACAAATATCAATGCTTGATTTTCAGGAGAGAACAGCAAACGATTTTGCGTATTGATTTTTCAGGAGAGCTTATATGGGTGTGGAATTGCATATACTATCACAGCTGCTGCCAGTGTGAAGTAAGCATCTAATAGAAATGGAAAAACCACCCCGCTTTCTATTATTTAGTGCAAAACGGACTCTTTCATTTTTATTTACTTTTTGGGTAGCCAAATGTAAACTTTATCGAATGCCAACTAACAACATCTAGTTTAGAAATTGAACAATACAACTCTCAACAGTTTTATGATACAGCATAACGTGCAAATTGTTTTTCAGTTGAGTTCAAATTAATAGATGATTTATGATATTTGGTTATTGTGTAATTGATGCAGAGCAATTGAAAGATCAGATTGTTACCACAAAGAAGGGCATGAGGCTCCATGCGAGTATGGGGATACTTTGTATATGCTGCTATTCGGAGCTGTTCAGATTGTAGTGTCTCAGATACCAGATTTCCATAACATGGCATGGCTCTCTGTTGTTGCAGCAATCATGTCCTTCTCCTACTCGTTCATCGGATTGGGACTTGGCATTGCAAAAGTTATTGGTATGCCTTAGAATTGTCTTATTTTTTTCTTTCTTATACACTATGGATCTTGAATTTGTGAAAGTTGTAAAAGAAAGGGAGTTTTAAAAAATAAATAAAGTTGTTTGGTTACCCATAAAACATTAACAGCCTCCTTAAAATCCAAGATCCAAACATAGTAATGTGGAATTCACAGCCTCCAGTTTACAAGAAACAATGATGCCATTTTGGTTAATTAGAGCAATATCATTATGCCATGGAACAAAAGGTCTTGCTCTACTCCTTCAAAAACTGTACAGAGAACGACAATTTTGACATTTCAACCAGAAATGCAGCTGTGTAGACATCAAAAGTCTCTTATTTTTGCAATTGCAGAAAACGGGGAGATCAAAGGGAGCATTGGAGGAGTCTCAGCTGACAGTGCAGTTGACAAACTATGGTTGATCCTTCAGGCACTTGGAGATATAGCTTTTGCCTATCCATATTCAATCATTCTTTTTGAGATACAGGTATGTTTCGAGCAACGTAAATTCTAAATCCAGTCATTGAAAAAAAAAAAAGCTGGTAAGAAGAAAGATACATTGAACTTGAATGCAAAAGTACTTGTGATTCCTTTGCTGCAATGAAGGACACTTTGAAGACACCTCCGCCAGAAAACCAGACCATGAAGAAGGCTTCTACTGCTTCTATCTGCATTACCACATGTTTCTACCTCTGCTGTGGATGCTTTGGATATGCAGCCTTTGGGAGTGATACACCGGGGAACCTCTTAACGGGATTTGGATTCTATGAGCCCTATTGGCTCATTGATTTTGCTAATGCTTGCATTATTCTACATCTAGTTGGAGGATATCAGGTACAACTACCTATTCCATATCAACTTGATTGTGTTATATTTTGCGGAAAATGCTAGGAACCTAGTTGCCGAGATCTATCGACCAAAATTCATAATGAATGTGAAATTGGGTTAAAAACTGAGAAATTTCTCAGTTTTGTGAAACTGAGATTTTTTAGATGAATTTCACAGTTTCATCCCAATTTTCAGTTTTGAGGTAAAAATTCTCAATTCTTCCATGACTTTTTACCAAAACTTTCAACGGAATGATATGACAGTGGGATTTTTGCAATTAAAAAGGCATTTTGATTGATTCATTTGTTTAATAGTGAAAGTTTCATGATACAACCACATCATTCTGTATAAGTTTTTTGTATTTTTTTTTGTTGTCTTTTACGAATATTATGACCAATTTCATTTACATTTGTTTGCTAGGTATACAGTCAGCCATTGTTTGGATTTACAGAAAGATGGTTCAGCGAGAAGTTCCCAAACAACGGATTCGTGAATAATTTCTATCCCTTTAAACTCCCATTGTTGCCGGCTTTTCAATTGAATCCTTTTAGGCTATGTTTTCGGACCTTTTACGTGGTATCGACAACTGTGATTGCAATGGCCTTCCCTTACTTCAACCAAGTTTTGGGGGTCTTGGGGGCCTTCAACTTTTGGCCTTTGGCTATATATTTCCCTGTGGAAATGTATTTTGTGCAGAGGAAGATTAGGGCTTGGACAACACAGTGGGTTGTTCTTCAAACTATTAGCTATGCTTGCTTGATTGTCTCAATATTGGCCTTCGTTGGGTCAGTTGAAGGACTTGTAGCTGCAAGATGGAGCTAAAACTCTAGTATATATAAGTTTTTTCAAAATTTGGAATAGATCAATAAAATTCATACAAAGGTTCTCTTACAATTGAGAGATGTATGGCATTTTTATTGTTTTGGGTTTTGTAAGTGAGTTTTTACTAAATATACATTTTTTAATTAAATAATACTCAGTGTACGCATTATGCATGCAATTTTATCATATTTGAAATTTTTAGTCGGCAAAAAGAGAGAGATTAAGTCGTTACAAGATAGATACTATTGATTTATTTATTTGTTTTTTCTATTTGCCGCTTGAAATTAGTGGATACATGAGTATTTGAATGGTACTTTTTTTAAGGGTAAATTATAAATACACCCCTTAAAGTTTAATTAAAATACGAATCGTTTTCTGTGGTTTTGAAAATAATATTCCACCTCTTGAGATTTCTAATTTCATAATAAATCATTACTTTTATTAATAAATCATCAAGTTAATTAATAGTTTTTAATGATGTTAAAAATATGTTTTAATTAATAATTTAAGTAATTTTATTATTGTATAGGAGAACAATTATGAATTTTTTTTTAATTAATTCTGTTAAATAAAAAATTTTAAAAAGGATATTTATAATTTTTCATACCACATAAGATAATCTGTATTTTAAGTAAATTTTAAAGGGTATATTTGTAATTTACCCTTTTTTTAAATAGGGGAAAAAATGTTACATAGCTTCCTCCTCATTGAAGATATTGTTTGAAAGCTAGTTGGGTTCTAACAATCTGTCATCTTTTGTTTTTTTCCCACCTAATAGTCAACCTAGTATAACCTTCCGTCTCATTGAATTTATATATGTAATTTTTTTTGGATAAAACTGAAAGCTAAAATTAAAAATCATATAGTGACAACAGCAATTTTATAATTAAAAATCATATTCTTGACTCTATTTTTTTTTTCTTTTTTTGAGAAATATTGTGATGTTGCTGCCATTCCAACCACCTAATCTGCCTATCTAAAAATAAATAAATGCCCCATCTAATCTGATTAATTTAATGGGAAATGTTCGAGACCCTTTTGAGATGATTCCTACACTCTCAAAGTGATCTTGACCCTTCATGTATGTGTGAGGTTCACATCATGAGTGATCCAGATTTATGAAAGTCTTGTAGGAGTGGGGTCTCAATCATTACTCAAATTATCCCGTGTCCAAATTTATTTTGGTTTGAAATTTTTTTTTTTTTTTTTTTTTTTTTTTTTTTTTTTTTTTTTTGGCATCCCAAAGACATGTTAACGAGACTTGGAATATTTTTTTGTATACTTTCTTATGTGCCAGATAAATATTAATTTTGAATTTTAAATTTGTAAAAGAATGTAAAATGTAAAAGAAACATACATGTGTATATATATATATATATATATATTAGTTAATTATGCATAAGACTTATTAACTATTAACAAATATCATGTTATTCTTTTTATTTATAAATTTGTATATTTTGACAATCTCAATTATTTTTGATCATTGACCAAAGACCATATGCGACAATCTCAATTATAAAATAATGGGCAAATTACAAATATCCTCTCGAGATTTGGTAAAAATACAAATTTTTCCCTGAGATTTGAAAAATTACAAATTACTCCCTGAGAGTCAAATTTTCATAACAAATTAAGAAAAATTAGGAGAGAATTTGTATGAAAATAAAAACCTCAGAAGACAATTTGTTATGAAAATATAAATCTCAAGGGGCGGGATGTAATTTCTCAAACTTCAGGAGAAAATCTGTATTTTCACCAAACCTCGAGGGGGTGTTTGTAATTTGCCCTAAAATAATTTATTATTGTAGTTGAAGGATAAAAAATTTCATGAGTTTGTAAAATGAAAGAGTGAAAAAATCGCAAAATATCACACCATATGTAAATTCTGTATTGAAAATTGTGTGTATATACATATCATTACTTACCCATCTCAAAATTAAGGAGGCAAAATCTATACAGTGGGGGTGTTTGGAAAAAAAAGAAATAACTTAATTTAGGTTAAAATTCACAAAAAGATAAAATAAGTTAAAATAGTTAATGAGACAAAATATCACATAAAACTCATAATCATTTCACTTTTTCTCTTATAAATATCACATCCAACCATAAAAAATCCAATCACCTTCCTAAATACAAAAATTTTAACCTACTAAAATAGTCAAAAACTAAAATATCCTACTACAATAACAACTTCCCAAACGGAGCCATTATATCAACAAAGGCGTTTAGATTAATTTTATAATAATAATAATAATAAAATCCACAATAATGAATGGAAATCTAACCGTTGGGCCAGCAAAATCAAAATCTGACCGTTGCGGGTTTTAAAGATTTAGCAACGATGGTTTAAATACCTGGGAACACCCCTCTATCTCCGGCATCAAAATCAATCAAATCTCACTTGCTCTATCTGCAAATCTTCGCGATCTCAGTTTTCTAATCTATTGTTTCCATACATTGCTCTCTGTTCACAGAACTCACATTCACACACTCGTCTTTTTCCTAATCTTCCATACATAGTCTTCAATGGCCGATTCCAAAGACGCCCACATTGTTGTGGAAATCCCAGTCGACGAAGAACACCAACAGAAACTAACATTCTCGGCAATGCAAAACCACCCACTATCTGAAATCTCCCAATCCCCAGGCCATCTCTTGCTCCTCAAGCTCTGGCAGAGAGAAGAAGATCTCTTCGGCCGCAGAATCGCCATGAAAGAGATCAGACTCGATTCCATCAAAACAGAGACAACCCAACTCTGTTTTTTCTTCTTCATTTTCCATGCTTTTTTCTCCACAATTCTCTTCACCTCTTCAATCAATAACAACAACCCAGAACAAGATCGCAATCTTGTGTGCCATAGTTGGTGGATTCCTTCAATTCTGTCTCTGTTTACTTCGATTGTACTGATTTTTTTGGTGCAGATGAGACTTTGCAGGTACTGGAAGGTGTGGAGAGAGTTGCAGAGAGAGAAGGAGAGTAACAGAGCGGTCGGGAGGTGTGTTCAGGAACTGAGGATGAAAGGGGCGAGCTTTGATTTGGATAAGGAGCCACAGAGTGGAAAGAGAATGAAGAGCTCGAGCGTGGAGATTAAGTGGAAGCCATTGACATGGTGTTCTCGGTATCTAATTACTGTTTGTTTGGTTTGTTTTACAGGTTTGGTCTTCCCTGCTTCCAAATTAATACTTTGCGTTTAACTACTCTGTTTTTGGAAGAGACTGATTGATTTAGCATCAAGTGTCTTGAGGTAAGGTGGTCTAGCACATGATTCTATGTTTTAATTTTAATTTTAATTTTTTGAAAAAGGTTAGAGATGTAAATATTTTACTAAATATTTCATATAACATTTGATAAAATATTTAAAATTTCTAATATTACTATTTTTCTTTTTTATATAAAAAAAATGTTTTTGATGTACTTTTGGCTGAATAATCATACTTTGCTGTGTTTTAATTTTAATATTTTTCATTGTTAGGAATTAACGCATTGAATACATGATGAGAACAATGATTTTGAAGACAGAACAGGAACCCTGCCTGTACCCCATTATGTGAGTAAACAAGATTCATTTTGAATTATTATTATTTATTTATCGTTGAGGTTAAGGTTAAGGTTAAGGTTCTGCTTGATTAAAAAAATTCATCTATACATATTTTTTAATTTTTATTGTTTTTAATGATAAAAAATCACTTGAGACAAAAAAACAAAACAAAACACGAAACAAATCAACTTTTTAGACCTTTAGACCTGTTTTTTTTTTTTTTTGATTCAATAAAACATTAAATAAATATAAAAAATAGAGATTTAGAAATGGGAAGGGCCATCCTCTTCTTCTTCTTCTTTTTTTTTAATTTTTAATTTTTTTAAGGTTTAACATTGATCTTGGCTAAGGTGGAATTGTTATCTCAAATCAAGATTGGAGGGATCCTTCTTCAACATAACTGCTTTCTATCATCACATTCGTCTCTCTTGCCAGGGGATGAAGCTTCTTGGTCCGATCTTTGCTTATATTCATTCATTCATCTTAGCTTGGTCCGATCTTTGTTGGGACGCGCTTGAATCATCAACTCTTTCATTGTATTGTTATGGTGATGATGCTGAGAAGAGGAAGGAGGACATTTGTGATTCAAAGCATAGTTTTGAAAAATGATGGCCAAACGGCTAGCAGCAATTTCAAACCACTCTGCTGCAATTCAATGTCAATTTTGAAAATAATTCTTCATAATGCAACACTGCTTGTGTTCCATATTTCCTCAATTGTATTTTATTTACAAGTATAGCCATTGTTATTTGTAGAAAGTATACTTGAATTTTATTTATTTTTTACCTTGGGCCCAGCCATCACAAACAACCAACCATACAGTATATGAGAAATGGGCTGACCACATGGTGTTCATATTGACAAAACACATTTTTGTGATTTGTTCAAATAATAAAATCATCTATTTTAATTTTTGTATTCAAAATAAATGGATTCTATAGAAGAGTTGTCAATTGAATTTTAATTTTTTGTGATTTTTTTTCTTGTTGTAAATTGAGTTTTATTAAACAATTGTGTATACTTGTGTGAGTTACTAACAAATTAAAAATAATAATTGTGTATACTTCATATTTTACGTATAAACAATTTATTTTTTGTTTTGTAAATTGTAGAGATTGACACTGCATCTAGAGTAGATGATATATAACAGGGTGATGATATTAGATATCCAGCATTTCCTTACAAACATTGTTTTCATAAAAATATAGCATGAAAAATTAAATAAATAATCAATACAATTTTAACAAGAATACTGTTATATGAACCAGTTACTATATTAACTAGTGTATCAATTGATAATGTGATATAATTTAATAGGGTTTTGGTATTTGTAATGTGATTAATGACTGAGATCAATAATAATGTCATAACTAATGTTGGTGCATGTAGGATTACCAAACAAGTTTTAACAAAACATTCATCTATGTAGGATTACCAAACAAGTTTTAACAAAACATTCATCTATGTTAATGGATACGGGTTGTTTTAAGAAATTGGTTAAAATATGATTTTTTGACTTTTTTTAAAAAATATATAAAAAAATAGAAATGTGATATAACTCAAAATAAGATAAAAACTACCAAGTTTCCAAACAATTTCAAATGGTGGCTATCCAAAGAAATTTAGGTTCGACACAACCCCTATTATGACCAGTATTGTTTTAATAAAAATATAACATGAAAAATTAAATAAATAATCAATATGGAATAGTTATTATATATATACTATAATCGGTGGTGCTACATGTCATTATTACTATATATACTAGTGTATCAATTAGTGTTATGTCATTATTATTGACTCCACATATTATACAAATAACAGATACCAAAAACTTCTAAATTTATGTCACATCATCTGTTAGTATATTAGTTTGTATATTAATTGGTACATATAACACTATCACGGTGGTGATGTTAGATATCTAGCATTTCCTTACAAGTATTGTTTTAATAAAAATATAACATGAAAAATTAAATAAATAATCAATATGGAATAGTTATTATATATATACTATAATCGGTGGTGCTACATGTCATTATTACTATATATACTAGTGTATCAATTAGTGTTATGTCATTATTATTGACTCCACATATTATACAAATAACAGATACCAAAAACTTCTAAACTTATGTCACATCATCTGTTAGTATATTAGTTTGTACATTAATTGGTACATATAACACTATCACGGTGGTGATGTTAGATATCTAGCATTTCCTTACAAGTATTGTTTTAATAAAAATATAACATGAAAAATTAAATAAGAGTTTGTTTGAGGTATGTTATATAAGTGCACATTTTAATCTTTTTTTAGTTATATTGATACAGTTTATCCCAGTGAATGGAGCGAACTGGTCCAAGCTCCTCAAGCCCAAGCCCAAGCCCAAATGATCGAGCCCACCGGATAACCTACAAACAAGTTCAACGGGGAACGGGGTAGTCCCCCAGTGAACCCTCCGATGAGCAAGTTAGGAAGAGAAGTAGAGTATATGGGGAGAGATTAGAGATGGAAATTTAACATTTTTCTTGTCTTCAACGCTCGCTTATATCCTTTGGCAATCATTTCACTGTCCCTTCCGACCTGCTCTCCTCGTCGAAAGCTTATGTTGTAGCTTACCTTGCTCAGGGTAAGGGGGTCCTATTCCGGCGGAGAGGTGTTGTCGTAATAAATGCTGTGATGGGCTGCAGTAATGGTGATGTGTAGTGGCAATAATTTTGCAGATCTTTGTCTGCTGATGTGGCTCGTCCTTCTCTTGCCGCGTGTCTGAATGTCATTGGCTCTTTATGCCATGTTGGACTCCAACTATCCTGGACCTCACCAGCTGGGTTATGCATTGGGCTCCAAGTGATGGGCTTGGATTGTCCATAGGTGATTCGTGGCCTTTATGGGCTTATACAATGTCAGTAGTCCCCCATTCCCGAGTGCAGCTTTAGTCCAACGAAGGGAATATTAATGATGTAGATGAGTGTGTTAGGGATTGGCAGGATGGAGGTCGACCGGAAGGGGTGATCGAGGGGGTGAACCGACCGGGAGGTGGTCCGACTGCGCAGGGCGACCGAGTGGAAGGGCCGATCACGGAAAGGACCGACCGCAAGGTTGGCCGAGTGGGATGGTCGACACCAAGGAAGGCCGACCGCGAAGGGTGGGCCGGCAGCGGTGGTTGGCCGAGTGAGGGGGCCGACCGCGAGGAGGGCCGAGTGGGATGGCTGACCGTGAGGAGGGCCGACCGCGGCGTTTGGCCGAGCGGGAGGGCTGACCGCGAGGAGGGCCGACCGCGGCGTTTGGCCGAGTGGGAGGGCTGACCGCGAGGAAGGCCGACCGCGGTGTTGGGCGAGTGGTATGGTCGACAGCAAGGAGGGCCGACCGCGAAGGGTGAGGTGGAGGGGCATGGGGCTCGAGACGCGACGTGTCACGTAGTGAGTTGAAGTGGAAAAGACAGGGTAAGGGGAGGAGACAGTGGATCGTGGTCGTACACGTGGTAATATCCCATAGGGGGGAAGATTAGGCGTTGGATCAGAAATGAAACGGTAAGTCATTATGGGTGTTGAAGAGACAGTTTTGGCGGATGATTTTGAAAAGTTTTCAAACTAGCAAAAATTAATTGGGATCCTTGGAATACGGGCAAACCGTGGGCTTTTGGCATTATTCGATTCACCTACTTGCTTACGAA